TATTCAAAGAGACAGGATAAATAATAGCGGTTTTACAGCATTTTGGAAAAAAAAAAAAACAATCTCACTGTATCTGGAAGAGGAGGAAGGACTGTAGAAGAAGATAGTTCCCTGTTCAGTTACACTGCTGTCCCTCCTTGAAGTGAAAGCTGTTTCTTCCCTAATTGGTCACTGGTTGAAGAATAACACACACTGTAGTGGCCGCGGCACTTCTCTATCCCCAGCAACCATGCCAAGTCTGAGACAAATCTTCCCCTAGCCCTGGTTACAGTCCTCTCCCTCCCAATTTTCTTCATGACATCCCTAAAAATGATTAATCCTTCTTGATAATGCATGATTACAGAGAACTTTAATTAGTGGACTGGTAGGCATCCCAAGAACAACTCTGCCCTTCCCCCATTATATTCATTGTGTATCAAATGTCATTAATTGCAGAGATCTATGCACAGGTCATGGTCTTCCTCAGTAGTCCTCTTGTCTCAGAAATCATTAACCCTTTGTGGGGAAAACCACACCTCCCTAGGGCCAGGATGAGGATGGATGAGGTCAGTTGATGGAGAAAGACCAACTGATGTAAAGGACGCTACGATGCCACAGTCTGCCACGTCAGGCACTTGAATTCCAAGCTCCAGGAAACATTTGCCAGGTCTGTGAGTCCAACTGAAAGTCTCTGTGATCTCACAGATTTTTTTATGATAGTGAAGACTATCATAAAAATATATTTGACTGCAGGCAAAACACCTGAGTGCCAGGGTACCAATTGTACTGTGACAGAAAGGGCTGATTCCTTTGCTCTTCCCATGAACATCCTCATTAGGAGTTGAGTTTTATTGGCGCTGGCTGGTTACTCTGGGGAGAGACAGAAGGAGCCACTGAAGACCAAGTGTCCCTGTGTACAGTGGAAATACTAAAACACTGCACAGTTGACTACAGGGGTAGTAACTGATAGGGCTTCGTCCTCCAGAGAAGGAGCTATCACCTAAAAATGAGCTTTAGTGCTTTATTGGGTGGTGTCATTCAGACTTGAACCCTACCTGTCTGAGTCCCGCTCAAGAAACGAATACATTTCTTCCTGTAATCAAAACTTGCAGTTTCTTATCCTTTTCTCAATGAAATTAAAATTTACATCCCATTTCAGATGAGAAAAATCCAACCTCAATCAAATCTAGGTAAAAAATAGCAAACCACTTCCATCCAGATTTTAATTCTCTTTATCTTAGAAGGAATCATGGAGGTGCCTGTGCTGGTTTATGAGAAGAGGCAGAAGTGTAAACCCATATTTTATGGTGAAAATGACAGTAGGAGTGACCTTGGTCAAGCAGATATTGCTTTTTCAACCATGTCTAGAGGAGATAATCAAACAGCAGTCTGCAAAGCATCGTGTTTCCTTAGATCCTGCTACAGTAATTGAATCATGAGCATATAAAATTAGATGAAAAATAAGGTAACTAGCCTTCTGGGACTGACTGATTGCAATAAATGTTGCCTCCTGACAACAAGCATTACACTGTCCTCTTTCAAGAGAGGTTAGCTTCTATCACAGCAGCTGCTCTCATTTCAGCCTGTGCCAGGTAGCAAGGCTGCTAAATGTATTCTGCAGGACAGCAAAAAATCTTTTAAGGAAATTATATGTTGCCTTTAAAGTACCAAAAGAGCAAGAAAAAAACTTTTAGCTCTTGACCTTTGGAATCAAATGAGTGATGCCAGACCTTCTTGGGTTTTTTGGGTCCTTTCAGGGAAGATATTTTCCCTTAACTTTGCCTTTCATTTAAGTATCACAAAGTATTTTATAAGCACTGATTGATTGCTCAAGTTTTACAAACCTTGCAACCCATTGTAGAGAAGTTCAGCTGAGCCGCAGTCATGTCTGTGGCTCTAAACTCAAAGGAATTTGCAACAAAAGGTCACAAAGGAAGGGACAGAGTGAAACTGAAGTATGGTGGAGGTTATTCTCTGCCAGTACAGGAATTGTTTTCAAACCATAAATATTTGCCCATGTGTTTGTCCTGCGGACAGCTGAGAAAATACAGATTTTTAAGCTATTACAGGAAAATAATTTAATTTAACTACCTCCAAAGATACATATGGGGCTGACATTGGGTGCACCAGTGATCACTATGAACACACATTTTCATGTCACAGTCAGAGAGCAGACAGCAAGACCTGAGCTCTGGGTGCTTTTATATATACTGATGCATTTTATACATATTATGGAGATTTATGTATTGGATACTTATTTAAACACAAATTTATGCATGTTAGATATGTTATGGAGAAGAAAGCACTAAACAGGCTCAGGTACTGTCTGCCACTGTCTGGTCTTGAACATGGACTCCACCTGTGGGGATTTTTTGGGAGGAAGCAGAGATGGGAACTCCTGGCAGAAGCTCTTGGGGAACAAGACAAACTCTTGTTCACCCTGGTGGGCTTGCTCTGTCTGCTGGATCAACTGCAGGATCTGCAGGGTCCCCTGATATGTGTTAATTCATAGAAGCTCCTCATTCAAGGAGCTTTTCCTTTTTTGTGTTATATGTTCATATAAACAAATAAGATTTTCTGTTAATCTAAACTATACTAGAGCATGAATGCTGGTGAGCAATAACCCAACACCCTGGGGAGCTGAGGCATGGCCAAGCTGTGGCTAAGCACCCTGAGGAGCTGTGGAAAAGGAATTGTCCTCTTAGTGAATCCGGGTGACTCTCCATGAAACCACAACACCTATTTGTATCACCAAAGTCTGACAGGATGATATTTTTATCCAGAAATCTGTACTTCATCCAGAGCAGAGGCTTCCACTGACCTGGCTGACATCAGCTGCATCAGGAGCCAAAGGGAGCTGTCCCTGCTGCAAGTGCCCCCATAGCACACATCTGAATTAGACGGATCCTACATCAAAAACGCCAAAAAGAAATGGTTCCTGCAAACTGCTTAAAAGCAAATAGGTTGAAAGGCCTCTCACTTTCAGTCATGTAAATAAGGAATAGCTCCACCAAATGAAATAGACTGATATTTTTATAGAATCAGTGAAAATGGAAATTCTACCAAGATTTCTGTATTTTCTCATGTTTTCTGAATGGAGACACTGAGATGAGCTCCACAGAAGAAGCTGTGCTGTATTTGAGGATTTGAGGATTTAGTTCTGAATAACTAAAATTCAGACAAAGATATATTCAGCAGATGTAAATATATCTAACCTTAATGACCTTTTAATTGAGTTATTGTTTATAAGCAGGCCCATAGTTTATTATGCAAAATCGTTATCTTGTGTACTGGATTAATGTACACACTAATAAAACTCATTAATCTCTTTAGGTATCACTGCAGGTTTTTGTGGATGAGATATAATGTAATCAAAACCAAATCACCTCATAACTGTTGATAAGGCCTTTAGAAACCTTAATCGTGTTCACAAATGCTTCTAATTACAGTAAAACAATTATCTTGGTGCAAAGGAAATGGACATTGTCTCTGGTAGCTCCTGACAGCTGTTCTTGAAATGAAAACAAGAAAAATAAACAAGGTTTTTATTTTAAAGGAAGGAACTTTGTAAACATAATATTTACTACAGAAGTGAATGTTTGTTGACAAATGCACAGAAGTGAATGTTTGTTGCCATAACTATAAATTCAGATTTACAGGTAAGTCCATTAAATCAATTAGTCCATTAAATCAATTAATGTATTGCCCTGTTAATGCTATTTTTCTGTATTGTGTTGCCAGATATTTTTTTTAATACCTCTAAATGCCTCTGACATGCAACCTATTATTCCCTTCCAGGGGAGAAACATGTTTTTACAATTGTCCTAATCCAGATATTTTACTTTATACACACCATTCTACTTCTCCACTTTGTCTTGATTATTTCCCATTTTACCATCTCAAATATTTTTCTTTACCTTGGTGCTCCCCACAAACAGTGGCAGCAGTGGATACTTGGCAGTCAGAGAAGGGGCAGCCCCTGCATCACCACAGAGACCCCTGATGTCCCCCTGCCATGGGCACCACCATCCCACACTGCTCAGAGCCCCATCCAACCTGGCCTTGAACACTTCCAGGGATGGGGCATCCATCACTTTTCTGGGCAACTTGTGCCAGGGCATCATCTTGCTCACAGCAAAGAATTTCTCCCTAATATCCCTTCAAAACCTACTCACTTCTCTCCTGAGCTGTTGAAAATAAGGAATTTCTTTGCTTTTCAAGCCTTTTTTCAGAGGACATGCAGCCATCTGAGCAGCTTCAATCCCAGGAGCAGGTGACTGGTGTGCATGCATTTTGTGTGCAATTTTGGATAATCAAGCGGAATTAAATTATATAGGACTAAGTTTAGTGAGTTCTGTATTTAGTCTTAACAGAGCTGGAGAAAACTTCAATGACTCTTCTCCTGAAATGCATCCTTAGACTCTTGGATACTCTCATGCATTTTCCAAACAGGAAATCCCTGTTGGACCTGCAGATTATGCCAAGTTGAAGCAGATCTATGATGGATGAGCAGGGAAGATACACCAGATATTCTGTACTCACACTGTCCATCAGGAACATTTCTGTAAGCTGCCTTTTTGGCAAATTGTCTTCTTGTTTTAACTTACTTTAACTCCCTCTGTTTCTCAGTCCTGGTTGATGTATCTGGAACTTAGTCCCAGTCACCCACAGTCAACCCCACCTTGCTGGCTTCTCCCTCATAAATTTTCTGATGTTTTATATCCTCCAGGTTTTGTTGTTGCTTCCCTTTAAGGATGCTTGTGGTGGCTGGGGGAATCCACCTCTACCTTCTGTGCATGTATGCACAGAAAAAAAGTTGTAAATATTTGCTTTCTAGCTATAAGTAAAAACACAAAAGAAAAGAAAAGAAAAATGTCAAGTGTAAAGCCTTAAAAGCAAGGTATTCATGGCCAGTCTTTCAAAGCTGACCTCAGGTACACAGAATGTCTGAAGATGTCAGTGTTGGCTCTAAATCCTGCCCCTGAGGCACAACAACTGCAGTGACAGAGCCCAGCACATACCTTCACATGTCAGCAGGAAGTATTCCAGATTGTGGCTGAAGGTTGCACTGAAATAAGTGCAGTTTTCAATCAGATCACAGGACAGGCACCTCCTGTTGAAGTTCCCATTTGTGCTTGCACTGAAAAAGTTAATACAATTCCATGAAGGTCACTGAGCAAATGTTATTTGAAAGCAACATTACTTGAACCTTTCTTTAGAACAAGAATATAAATCTAATGTGTCCAACATTAGTAAGAGACAAAGTATTTCCATTTGGTTGAGTTTAAATAGCAATAATGGATTTTTTTTTCCCTCCTGCTTGAATAGAGAATATATAAATGGATACTGATGTCATTTTGCAAGGTCAGGTGGTTATGAAGGAAGGCACAGATTTTAAAACAAAATGATCGTTGCAATTTCAGAAGAGGAAGTAATAATTTGGTGGATGAAGGCATGAAACAAAGCAGCAACATTTCAACACTTATTTATATTATAACAGACAGTAAAGAGCTGGAATTGCTCTCTCTAAGTTTCATATGGGTTTCACCACTGGTCTGATTTGCTAGCTGCTGCCTCAGAGGCCAAAGCCCTTCTTACAGATTTAAATAAAAAAAACCCTCTGCTCTTGAAACCCCCAAGCAGAAAGGAAAGTTTGTATTTCGGGATCTGTTGCTGAGGAAGGTAATGTGGCCTGTCCGTTTGCTCACAAGTTTGCTGCTAAGACTCCACTGAATGTTCAAGAATATTATTAGCAAATATTAATAGATAGTATTTTGAAACTTCAAGAATATTAACCAAGAGATATTTCCAGTATTACTGTAATGCAGATGAGTGTTTTTTGCTACCATTTCAAGAGATGAGGCTGAGCAACTTTAGGATGGCAGAGACTGAAATGAGTAATCATGGGCTCTTGTTTGGGCTCAGATTTTATCTCTGACTACAATCCTAATTAAATCTACTAAATCAAGCACAAAAAAGGAGAGGGAAAAACCCTGAACAGGTCTTCATCTGCTCCTTCTCTGTTGTCTGTGTGGGGAGATGAGGCTGGTGAGGCACCAGGGTGAGATGGATGCTGACAAGGAAGAGTGGGGAGTGCTTTCACTCATGCCAGCAGCTCTTGAACTCTGCCTGGACTCTGTTTTTAAAGTGAGGTTTTCTTCTTGTTTCAATAGAAATGAAGGGTTAATATAATTTTAAAAAAATTTCTTCAGGAAAATAAACACCTTCAAAAAACTGTGGAGTGCAGTGAACAGGCATATAGGTCTCAAAAGGAAAAAAAATTATTAAATCACAGATAATTTGCTTTGCTCTAGTTTCCTTCCCACTGAGGAACAAAAGGATATGATGTCATGTGAGAGAAGGAAAAAGGCTGTCCCTTGTCCACTGATGCCTTCCCTAACTCTGCCCTTCATGGCAGATGTGATGGCAGCAGGGTGACTGAGAAGAAAAACAGGACAAATGGAATAATGATTCTAAAATATATTTAAAAATTTGTGTTTCTTCCACTCTGTAATCTGCTTCCACAATATTTCACAACGGCAACACTACCAACACCTTGCTGTAAAACCAGGTTTTTACTCATCATATACTTAGGGACAATGCTAAAATCTTCTGGAACTGCAGAAAAAGGTTTGTAAACATAAAATATTGTTAATTCTTTTCAGTTTCATGAAGAGGTGAGCTACTACGAAATTTCACAAAACGTTTATTGGAAAGTATAAAGACAGTTTATTCCATTATTTTATGTATTTCTGAATTCCTTCAAGTGCTAAGCAGTTCTGTTGTGAACTGACTATCTATTTGTGATAGTCAGTCTTGACACCAATTTAAAATTTGCATTGATATGAGAAAATTGCAAAATGTAAAACATTTCCAAGTGTCAAGCATTTTGTTTGCTATGGTTACACTGTTTCTTCCAGTGACATACTGAAAGATCTCCCAATTCCATTAAAGAAAAAAACTTAAGAAACTGCTTCTACTGCAATTGCTTATGATTCTTGTAAAACTGAAGAAATGGGAAATTCTGAATATGAAGTTACTAAAGCACATACCTGTATAAATGTCTCCTTCTTGGTGAATCTTCTGTGCTGTGGAAATAACTGGAGAGGAAAAATAAAAGTGAATTGCACCACTAGAAAGGTTTAGAAGTGTCTCATGCAACAACATCTTCACTCATATTACCATTTTCATGATCTTGTGAAAACAAGGGGAGTTTAAATTGAACAAGGAGAAGATACAGAGAGAGACATCACTGAGAGGCTCAAGAAACTACACGGCAGACTGCACTGCAATTAAAACAAGCATGGAAAACTTTGGGTCCTACACTTGTCATGTCAGTGGATCAAAAAAGGATCAAGTGATTAAGTGGAAGACATCCACTCTTTTTCTTTTACCTCAGGACTCATGGCTCAGAATTTCTTTTAAAGACCTTTCTTCTCTCTCTAGAGGAAGTTTTTACTTCTCTGGCCATATTATTTTCTCTGCCCAGTTAATCTTTGTCAGCTAATCAGGGTTTGATGGGAAGCAGAGCATGAAGCTGAAGAACACTTTGCTGTCCTTGTTCTGTGCTGAGCTCCTCTCTGGATAAACAACACCAGCTCTGCTGTGCAGTGGCAGCTTCTGAAGGTAAAAGAATGATGCTGCAGGAGGTGGCCAACCTCAGTCCCACCTGTGAAATCTGAATTAAACCCCGAGATGCGTTTTGTGTGGATAATTCTAGAGCACAGGAGAAAATGTAGCATCCCTGGGGTGAACAATGCCAGGAAGGGTTTTCATCCCTGCTGATCTGATTCCAACAAGCTGCACTTGCCTAGGCACACATCTTGATTGTACAAATTGTGTGTGGCATTTTCTGCTTGACTGGCCAGTTAAAATGCCAATGAAACTCTGGTGCTAGTTTGCTACTTAGGCCACCCCTGGAAGTGCTCAAGGCCAGGTTTGAGGGGAGCCTGGTCCAGTGGAAGGTGTCCCTGCCCACAGCAGGCAGCTGGAACTGGATGCGCTTTCTCTTCCAGTCCAAACCATTCTGTGATTCTACATTTCTATGATTTTATATTGTTCTGAAGTTATTGGTAATTAAGAGCATTCAAAATCTTGGAGAAACACTGTGCTCTTAATGATCACTCAAAATTTATTATATTCCAGAGACTGTTTGCTCAACTGTTCAGTGCCCTTGAGTAACTGAGAGGTGAGAACCTTGTATCCATCCAAAAGTTTTTCTGGAAAGGCATCTGTTATTTGACTCCAGAAGCTGTCTAAATATTTTCTTATGTAATTTCTTGAAGTGTA